CACACACACACACACACACACACACACACACACACATATATATATATATATATATATATGTATATATATATGTGTGTATGTACACGCGCGCGCGCGCGCGAACACACACACACACACACACATATATATAGGAATTTTCGGATGCGAAAAGTTTTCGCACACAAACAGTGCGAAAAGTTGCTGAGCCGTTGGATGCGAAGGAACGGAGAGATCATAATTTCACGGTTTTAAATCCCTATTCCCAATGTACTCCACATTTCCATTCATTAACTCTCTGCCCCCAAAAACCCTCCTCCCTCTCTCTCGAAAAGTTTTCGCACACAAACAGTGCGAAAAGTTGCTGAGCCGTTGGATGCGAAGGAACGGAGAGATCATAATTTCACGGTTTTAAATCCCTATTCCCAATGTACTCCACATTTCCATTCATTAACTCTCTGCCCCCAAAACCCTCCTCCCTCTCTCTCCCCATTCCGTCGCCTCCTCCCCCTCCTCCCGTCCGTCGAAGACCCCCTCCTCCGCATCCAACGACGTCTCGTTCGTGACCATCCCAGCTCCGGACCCCGACCCCAGGTCCGGACCCGACCCCAGCGAACAGACCCGACCCCGACCCTGACCCCAGCTCCGGTTCAGTAGGGCTGGGGTCGCTTGTGGGGCTGCCGTCGCTTGTGGGCGACCCCAGCTCCGGTTCCGACCCCGACCAGCGAGGGCGCCCAAGGCCGTGGACGAGGATTTGTACAAAATCCCCCCTGAGCTCCTCCGCCAAAAGCCCAAGAGGGTATATTTTTTCCCCCTTAGATTTCTCTACTTAATTCGTCACATGTACTTTTTTTTAATAAAGTTCTTGCCCTTTTTTTTTAAATTTGTTGCAGAAGAGGATGCTGAGGAAATTGTTGTCAGGGTGCCTGGGCCTCAACTGTGTTGCTTGAGAGCTGAGCTTGGAGAGGAACAGGGGGGATAAGAGAGGATGGCAGCGTTACATTATATTAAAGATCCTAGCTTTTGCGTTACATTATATTAATTTCACTGACGTCTTCAAAATTCGGATAAAGACAGCACAAGTAGCAGGGTTAAGTAAACTTTGTAACTGGCCAATTCTTGTCATTCATAAACCAATGTTGTCATTTATACAAGCTTCTACGTTTTAAGCTGATAATCAGTACAAAACCTAGTCGTAATTATATGAATGAACCTTGAATACGTAATAAAGTGACTAGATGGCTAAAATTACCAAATATGTATTTCTTGTAGAACCCCTAACCAATTTGGTACTTTTTTTAAGCTACGGCTTCATTTTGGTTTTTTTTCTTAGCCTGATGGTGAAATAGCCCAAACGTCCGCCGACTAAATTAAGTGTTTTTTTAGGATGTATTTCTTGTGCCGTTTGTAGGTATAAATCACCATTGGCAAAGTGTTTTTTAGGATGTGGCTTGATCCCAAACGAAGAGGCGAAGTCTTTCATATGGTTGTTTAACAAATGGATTGAAGCAATGGGTCATCCTCCTTCGGGCATGATTACAGATCAATGTCTTGGCATATGCAAGGCAATTGAAACAGTTTTTCCAGAAATTCGGCACAGGTTTTGTATTTGGCATATCTTGGACAAAGTTCCGGAGAAGTTGGGTAAATGGGCTTTAATATGGAATTTATGAAATCTTTCAAAGAAAATATTTGGGACTCCGAGACTGCTACCTCTTTTGAAGAGAATTGGGTTTCAATTCTTAAGAAAATTGAAGACTTTGTGGTCAATGGAAAAACAAATGGCTCAAATCTACACAAAAAAAATTGAAGACTTTGTGGTCAATGGAAAAACAAATGGCTCAAATCTACACAAAAAAAATCTTTTATATTTTTCAAGACGAGCTTCAACCTAGCTTAATGTATAATATTGAGCTAGTAAAAGAAAATGAAAGAGAAAGTACTTTCCATTTGAATTTTTGTGGTCATGATGAAAGAGGGGCTATCTTCTAATGACGCATATGAATTAATGCGTGAAATGATGATGGATGCTATTAATAAGGTGTAACGTTTGAAACTCATCAATGATGAAGAAATTGGACAAGATGTGGAAGGACATTATATGAATGCGGAGTGTTCTCAAGATGTAGTTCATGAACCAAGTCAAGCAAGAACAAAAGGAAGGCCTAAAGGGAAGAGGTTAAAGCCATCGAGGGAGATCCGCAAATACAAGCCGAGGAAATGCAAATTGTGTGGAAAGCGAGAACAAAATCATGATAGCAGAAATTGCCCTCTAAAGTTGTTAATGTAGTGTATCATTTATGAGAGTAATATTAATGCTATTATTTTTTTAAACTATTTTAAGTTGGTGCAATGATCTTTTAATATGTTTTGCTATCATCACTTTTTTGTAGTGATTCAATGGAACAAGATAATATTGATGAAGCCACTGATGATTTAGAGGATTCCTTTGAGGAAGGTAATGTGATTTACAAGATAATATTGATGAAGCCATTTTTTAATATAATGTGTTTTTTTAATGTGATGAATGACTTTGTTTTTTAATGTTTTTTAATACAGATGAAGTTCTCACTATTGCGTGAAGTTTCATCAAGGTTGGCGTGCAAGTATAAAATCCAATCCTGGAAATACAGCATCCCAAGTCTCTTTTTGTGCTTGCTTTAGAAGTCATATCACATTTGACACACCATTAGCTATGCAAAGGAAATCTTGTTTTATCTTATTAAATGCCTGTCTTTGATGATTCCCTTCAACATGAGCATATAAGTTAAATCCACTCTTGCTACTTGTCTGCACTATTTTATGATTTGTTTCTAATTTTTATAATTTGTTTATTTTAGGTGAAATGTCATACTCTGATTGTAGCTACAGGAGCTACTGCTAAAAGGGTTAGATTACCACGTGAAGATGAATTTTGGAGTAGGGGAATAAGTGCTTGTGCAATATGTGATGGTTCTGTAATGTTTCTGCTATCATCAACTTGGTGTAATGTTTTTTGCTAGATGGTTGCTATCATTATAGATGGTTGCTAACATCAACTTGGTATAGCAATTCCTTTGGCTAAATTGGTAGATGTTTTTTGTTCTTCTGTCTTCTTTGAAGTCTGTAGCTTCCGATTTGCGATAAATCATATGGTGCAGATTTTCATGTTTGTTTTCATTTCATCCATATCATACATTGATAACTAATTCCAGGTGTTGTACAAAATATGCATCATACTGCGATCAATTAGTTCGCAGTATACCCACGTCCCAAAACTCTCCCCTCCTCCAAAGCTTCTCGCGAGCTCCGATACCCAACAACTCCCACCACCACGGCTGCTCCAATGCCCAACAACTCCCAACAACTACCAAGCCCTCCTCGAGTTCATCTTCCCTTGGCTCAGCTTCCGTATCTCCACCTTCGAGCAAAAAGCCGTCCAAGCCCTCGTCGAACAAAAATTCGTGCACGACTCCCTGAGCTACGCGCGTGGCTACCTGGCCGATGTCCTACCATCGTCTGTCGACAAAGTCATATATATTTCAAGCAAAAAATGCACAGTAGAAATATCCCAGCGAAATATCCCAGCGAAGGTCCAAAGTACAGGGGGCCTGTTTGCAGCTAACATTTCTTTCTTTCTTTTTTTTTTTGAAAAATAACCCAGCGAAATATCCCAGCGAAGGTCCAAAGTTCAGGGGGATTAAGTGGAGGTAACCCAATTTTAAGCACACAGACCATAATTGCTTCACTAATAATCCTCAATTATATATTTCAAGCAAAAATGCACAGCAGAAGCTATAACAGGTCACCATTAACAAACATTCCCCCCGCTATTTCTTACAATATATTTGCTTACCAAAAAGACAGTGTCTTACAATATATCCCATCACACTGATTAAAAAAAATCGCAAAAACAAGAAAAAAAAAGAAAAATCCATGGTGAGTTCAGTGCAGAGCAGCAAAAGCTAGGATCTTTAATATAATGTAACGCTGCCATCCTCTCTTATCCACCCCTGTTCCTCTCCAAGCTCAGCTCTCAAGCAACACAGTTGAGGCCCAGGCACCCTGACAACAATTTCCTCAGCATCCTCTTCTGCAACAAATTTAAAAAAAAAGGGCAAGAACTTTATTAAAAAAAAGTACATGTGACGAATTAAGTAGAGAAATCTAAGGGGGAAAAAATATACCCTCTTGGGCTTTTGGCAGAGGAGCTCAGGGGGATTTTGTACAAATCCTCGTCCACGGCCTTGGGCGCCCTCGCTGGTCGGGGTCGGAACCAGAGCTGGGGTCAGGGTGTTCGCTGCCGTCGGGGTGTTCGCTGGGGTCGGGATCTGAACCGGAGCTGGGGTCAGGGTCGGGGTCGGGTCTGTTCGCTGGGGTCGGGTCCGGACCTGGGGTCGGGGTCCGGAGCTGGGATGGTCACGAACGAGACGCCGTTGGATGCGGAGGAGGGGGTCTTCGACGGACGGGAGGAGGGGGAGGAGGCGATGGAATGGGGAGAGAGAGGGAGGAGGGTTTTGGGGGCAGAGAGTTAATGAATGGAAATGTGGAGTACATTGGGAATAGGGATTTAAAACTGTGAAATTGTGATCTCTCCGTTCCTTCGCATCCAACGGCTCAGCAACTTTTCGCACTGTTTGTGTGCGAAAACTTTTCGCATCCGAAAATTCCTATATATATGTGTGTGTGTGTGTGTGTGTTCGCGCGCGCGCGCGCGTGTACATACACACATATATATATACATATATATATATATATATATATATGTGTGTGTGTGTGTGTATATATATATATATATTATAATATAATATATATATATTATATAATATTTATAATATATATATATAATATATATATATATATATATATATATATATAGAGACGAGCAGAGACGAGAGAGAGAGAGAGAGAGAGAGAAACTTATGTCAACTTAAGTGGACGTCCACTAAGTTTCTTAGTCATTGATAATCACTTGATTGAGCTATATTGTAGATGATCCGCTCCGTTGAACTTAATCTACATATTCTAAAACCACAACACACCAAATTTGGGGTGAACATGTCGTGGTTTGACCCTCCGTCAAGTCATGTAAAAAGTTCTATTCATTCAAAACCGTTAAAATTGATACGAGTGGATGAATGGTCAAACCATGATGGGTTCACCCCAAATTTGGTGTGTTGGAATTTTAGAATATGTAGATCAAGTTCAACGGAGCGGATCATTCACAATGTAGCTCAATTAAGTGTGTGTGTGTGTGCGCGCGCGCGCGCGCGCGCGCACACACATATAGGAATATGATAATGAAATGATGTGCTCATATTCTTATTATGAGCTAGCCCAATAGGATACTTAAAACAATGATCGGCATCGCCCATCATGATTTGCACTCCTCATGATCTATATGTAGAAAGTTATATTATTTTGAAAATTTTAATCATTGTTTTGGATGTGTGTAAAAGGGCTGACTGTAAATTGCCTGATGAATCAATATATAAAACTAGTTTGATTCATATTCTAGATGACTCTAAATTATATAAAGATGTTATCATATACATTTCATGACGTATTGAGCAAAATGTATGGTGCCAATCATGAATTTGATGACCCTATTAGTCTAGCTTACGATAAAATTTAAACTCATCATCTTATACTATCATTACTATATGTGTGTGTGTGTGTGCGCGTGCGCGCCATTTTGTTAAATAAGCTATTAAAAGATAGCCATGGGATGATGCTCTTCCTAAAAGTAATGATATTGTGAGATGATGAGCTCAAATCTTATCATGAGCTAGACTAATCTGTTCATCAAATTCATGATCGACATCATACATCTAGTTCAATACGTCATTAAATATATATAGTTAAATTTTTATATAATTCGGTGTTTTCTAGAATATGAATCAAACTAGTTTGATATGTTTATTTTTCAGGTAGCTTAATAGCTGTCCCTCCTACATACAACTAAAATAATAATTAAAAATTTTAAAATAATATAAGGTTTTCTACATATAGAACATGATGAGTGCAAATCACAATGGGTGGTGCCGATCAATATTTTTAGTAGCCTATTGGACTAACTCATGATAAGAATCTTAGTTCACCATCTCATTGTATCATTTATCTAAAAGAGAATATGTTTTTTAACCTTTGTTGTTAAAAATATCCACATATGCCCTTTGCGCATCTTGGTATTAAACACAGACCAAATAAAAACAAATTCAAAACTATTTGTCAAATAATTTGTCAAAAGACTGTAAAAACTTAGAATCAAGGCAGGATTAAGTAACTAATTGGAATAATAAAAATGCTGAATTGAAGATTTTTGGTGGTTACAAAAGAGAGGAACTCAAGGAAAGTTGAGAAGTGCATGAGAATCTTACAAATAAAAAAAATATATACAAGACAAATTAACTAGCTAATAGCCGTTAATAGTGCACGCTACATGAAATATACCAAGGAACTTTTATATATAACATTAAAATGGATATGATACGGTTGAGTGAAAAGAGTAGAATGATACTAAAGAAAAAAAAAAGGTAGATTGCACATAACCACCCTCATCCATAGCTAGTGCTAGTACTCTGAACTTCAACCCTCAACTAATTTATTAGCACTTAGACCATCTCCAACCGGCCTCTATATCTCTAAAATCTTCAAATTTGGTGAGTGGAACCTCTCCAACCACTCTCCAAATTTGACCCTCAAATTTGGAGAATGAGGAGAAAAGATGGAGGGTCTCTCCATAACACTATTCATGGTTTATTAATTATAATTTTTCTATTTTTAACTATTTAATTTCTTAAAAATTACCACTTTGCCATCATTCTTAGTAATTTAAATTAGATGTTTAATTTCTAATAAATATAGTTAAAAAATTATTAATCTAATATTTGAAATCATTATATATTTGGAAAGGGCTCGTTGAGATCTTTAAAATGAAACTAAGATTAATTTATTTTAGTATTATTATAAAATTATTAATTTTTAAATTAAATAAATAAGTATCAGACATGAAATTTTAAATACGGGGACCTATGGTATGTTGTATTAGAGGTTAATATTTGCTTTCTTATTCTATCGATGTATGCTTTCACTGTTATTTCAGAATTTTTTCTTTTTTAATATGTTGTATTACAGTATTAATATTGGGTTCATTTTAAAGCTCTCATCGACACCTTTATAATGTTATAAATTTTTTTCCAAATAAATTATTAGCAATAAAATTATTAACGTAAACTATATCCAACATTATTTAATTTATATGGTTTTTTTTGATAAAAAAAATTAAAAAAAAAATTTTGAGAGTGTGGGTTGGAGGCTTGGAGCAACCCTCCAAATTTTAGCCTCCAAATTGGAATATTCCTAGAATATTCTAATTTAGAGGGTGAAATTTGGAGGGTATGGTTGGAGATGCCCTTACAAATGTTTTTCTTTTTATTTTTTTCCTCTCCAACCACTCTCCAAATTTCACCTTCCAAATTTGGAGGGTGAAGAGAAAATTTGGAGAGTCTCTCCAAAATACTATTCATGTTTTATTAATTACAACTTTATCACTTTTAACTATTTAATTTCTTAAAAATTACCACTTTGCCATCATTCTTAGTAATTTAAATTAGATGTTTAATTTCAAATAAATATAGTTAAAAAATTATTAATCTAATATTTGAAATCATTATATATTTGGAAAGGGCTCGTTGAGATCTTTAAAATGAAACTAAGATTAATTTATTTTAATATTATATAAAATTATTAATTTTTAAATTAAATAAATAAGTATCAGACATGAAATTTTAAATATGGGGATCTATTTAACTTGTCCCATAAGAAAATACAAGCATAAATTATAATATTTAAATTACATTCCTTCGTTGCCGTGCCTCTGTCATAAATGTTCAATTAGCGTATTTTGAAGCATAAAATGAGCTTCCCTATCTTGAATCTTCCTATGTCGATGAAGGAATCGTTGGAATCGTTCGACATCATCAATATCTATTGTCTGTTATCATATTTTATGTTTGAGGTTTATGTTTGCGACCTATGGTATGTTGTATTAGAGGTTCATATTTGTTATCATATTTTATGTTTGAGGTTTATGTTTGCGACCTATGGTATGTTGTATTAGAGGTTCATATTTGCTTTCTTGTTCTATCGATGTATGCTTGTATTAGAGGTTCATATTTGCTTTCTTGTTCTATCGATGTATGCTTTGTCACTGTTATTTCAGATTTTGTTTTTTTAATATGTTGTATTAAAAAAGCTAATATCAAATGGGGTCTCCATTCAGATAAGGGCTCTCATTTCTTTCATTCTGTGATGAAATCTAAGAGTAATATCAAATGGGGTCTCCATTCAGATAAGGGCTCTCATTTCTTTCATTCTGTGATGAAATCTAAGAGGCATCAAAGCAGAATCCTGTCAATATATAATGCTGATGGCTACAGGCTTACAGATCTGTCTGATATTACCTTTGAACTCATTGATTATTATAAGAAAATGCTGTGAATTGCTAAGGCCAACACAACTCCTGACCCTAGTGTGATCTCAAATGGCCCTGTTTTAACCTCAGCTCAGAGGAATGAACTGAGTTCTCCTGTCTCTAGGGAGGAGATTAAGCAAGGTTTATTTTCCATGCCTGATAGTAAGGCCCCTGGGCCTGATGGCTTCAATGCTTATTTCTTTAAAGCTGCTTGGTGTGTCATCAGCGAGGATCTCTTTCTAGCAGTTGAAGAATTTTTTCAATCAGGTAAACTCTTGGGCTCCCTGAATACTACTTCTATTACTCTTGTGCCCAAAGTCCTTAATCCCACATCAGCTGCTGACTTCCGGCCGATTTCCTGCTGCAATGTCATCTACAAAATTATCTCTAAAGTTATTGCTAGTAGGGTGCAAAAGATTATAGGCTATCTAGTTAATGATGCTCAGTGTGCATTTGTGAAAGGGAGACTCATATCCAGTAACTTCTTACTTGCTCACGAAATTATCAAACACTATGGAAGGAAGAATAACTCCCCAAGGACTATTCTGAATGTTGATTTGAGGAAGGCCTTTGATACTATTAATTGGGAGTTTATAAGAAGTATGTTGATTGGTCTGGGATTTCCTATGATTATGGTTCACTGGATCATGGAATGCATTTCCTCTCCAAAATTTTCTATAGCATTGAATAGGGGGCTGCATGGTTACTTCCATGGTGCAAGAGGATTAAGACAAGGGAATCCTCTTTCCCCTTACCTCTTTGTCATTGGTATGGAGTTTCTATCTAGAAAACTTAGTGCTCTAAAAGATGACTCCTCTTTCAAATTTCACCCGAAGTGCTCTAAACTGAAGATTAATCATTTGATATTTGCTGATGATTTGCTCTTGTTCTGTAAAGCTGATATGAGCTCTATTGCTAAAATTTATGAATGCCTACAAGAGTTTGGACAAGCTTCAGGCTTGGAAGCTAATGCAAGTAAGTGCTCTGTTTTCCTTAGTGGAGTTAGTGATAGTCTCAAAATTCAGATTTGCAATTATCTCAAATTCCCTGAGGGTATTCTGCCTGTGAAGTATCTGGGGCTGCCTCTGAATGCAAAAAGGCTCTCGTACTCTGATTGCTCCTGCCTTATTGACAGAATTAACAAGCAATTCCAAACCTGGCAGCAGAAAAAATGTTTGTCTTATGCAGGTAGGCTTGAGCTGATTAAATCTGTGATATTAGGCATTCAAACATATTGGGTCAGTAATTACATTCTGCCGGTTAAAGTATTGGAAAGAATTGACAGAATGAGTTCTGAATTTCTGTGGGGACATAAACTTCATCTGGTAAATTGGAAATCAGTGTGTCAGGGAAAGGAGCAAGGGGGACTGGGGATTTTTTCAGCTAAGTTCTGGAATTATGCTGCTGCTACTAAGCTCCTTTGGATGATTCATCTTAAAAAGGATCTACTATGGATAAAGTGGATTCATGGTAACTATCTACAGAGGCTCAATATCTGGTCTGTTTCTTCCAAGACAAATGATTCATGGGCATGGAGGCAACTCCTTAAAGTGAGGGATATGTTGTTGCTTAAGTTTGGTAGTGTTGACAATATTGAGGCTGTCATTACTGAATGTTATGCTGCTGACAAACTCCAACTATCTGCAGTCTACAAGTCTCTTATTCAGTCTACAAATACAGTGCCCTGGTCTAAAACTGTTTGGGATAGTTGTTTATATCCTAAACATTCTTTCATATTGTGGCTAGTTTGTCATTCAAGACTTCTCACCAAAGATAGATTGGGCCGAATGGGTATCCTGAGCTCAAATCAGACTCACTGTGTCCTGTGTAATAGACAGGAACTGGAGACCAGTAACCACATCTTCTTTGAATGTCAATTTTCAGCTGAAGTCTGGAATTTAGTGATGGAATGGTTGAAATATAGATGGAGGTCATGTGTATGGGGTTTGGTTTTGAATTGGTATTCTTATAGTTTGAAAGGAAAGGGCCCTATGAAGAAATTGAAGAGGATGTGCCTATCCACTGCTGTTTATATGATCTGGAGGGAGAGAAATCGGAGAATCTTTCAAGGCAAAAGGAAGCTCCCTGCTCAGATTCTTAGTGACATCAAGTTTTCTGTTTTTGCAAAAGTTCTTAATGATAATTCAAATGTACATATAAAGTATATTCTTGAGAACCTGTAATTCTTTGGTTTCCAGCTCTGTTGGCACTTAGATGTACTGCTCATTCACAAATTGGAAGATGAATAAAATTAAGTTCATTGACCAAAAAAAAATATGTTGTATTGCATTATTAATATTGGGTTCATTTTAAAGCTCTCATCGACACATTTATAATGTTATATTTTTTTCCAAATAAATTATTAAAAATAAAATTATTAATGTAAACTATATCCAACATTATTAATTTATATGGTTTTTTTGACAAAAAAAAATAAAAAGGAAAACATTTGGAGAGTGTGGATTGGAGCCACTCTCCAAATTAGAATATTCCTAGAATATTCGAATTTGGATGGTGAAATTTGGAGGGCATGGTTGGATAAATTGTACACCTTTCTCCCTCAATTCGGGGCCTAAGCGCCAATAAATTAGTTAGGGCTCTGTGCTACTAAAAGAACATATGTGGGTTATGTACAATTTATCCAATAAAACAAGTGTTGGATATCATACGCTCCAGTAATTCAGCTAGCTAGCTAGCCAGATTTCTTGCATTAAAATTAATGCAAGAAATTAATCCCATCAAATTATTTGCATACATTACTACTTAAAGATTACTATACATCAAATTCCATTTCCGTGTGCATGAGAGAGAGAGAGAGAGAGAGAGTGTGTGTGAGGGACAGAGAGAGAGAGTCACATCCAGAGAACAAATTGAGTCACTGACAATTCTGTACAAAGCTAGAGAGAATCTTTACAGAGAGTAGTTCAGGCTATCAATGGAGTTCACTTGCACATACATGTAAACTTTCAGCTCAACATCATATATTAATCTATGAATAGGGTCTTCTGCCAATGAAGTAAACATGACAAAGATGTTTACAACCTATATATATCTTTATACATTGACAGAATCACAGTCCCATAAAAATCAAAACTTTCCTTCCCAAGACTTACAATCATTTCTTAAAATCTCTGAAATCTTTCCTTCCATTATACCTGAGCATGTGATAAAAGATATAAGATCCAAACATGTGTTTAATAGGGTAACACGTTTCATTTATCATAAGTTAATCAGACAACAATGAGAAATATTTCCGTTTATGAATCACTAAAAACACGAGTCAAAACTTTCCGAAACTGCACCAAAATAACATTACAAGATCATTTCCAAACTTGTAGGTTGATCTTTAAATATCTCAATTAACACTAACAATTATATTGGATCTTCCAAATAGTTAACAAAATGGCTTAATTAAGAAAACCTTGGCTTCTTGATCTTGAAGATTGATTTCGCAAACAAAGATTATCTTTAATTAGGGCCTGCATGAAAAGTAAAAGATTATCAACACCAAATCAAGTACAAAAATGCAGTCCAAATCAAGTACAAATATATCAATAAGAAAACCCTATCACATGATCATAGATGGAAAATTTTCCCTTATAGATGAAATAATGTGTTTCTTGACCTAAATAATTAGCTTGAAACGGTAAACAAATATCTAGTACAGATATACCCATATATCTGAATCGTGATGCCTTGTGTTCTATCCCACAAAAAGAACAAGAAGCCCGGGATTATTCTTATTATTTACGCTGTGGAAGAGAGGCAAGAAATTGCTCTAATCACTGCAAAGCAGAAGAGATAATTTGCTAGTATCAAAATGAAACTTGCCCAAAAGGCAGCCCCTTAATTAATCAAAATGAAACATGAAATAACCATTGAATCAACACATAAATTAGATCATATCTAAAACATAGAACTTCAAGGGCATGAAATAAATACTCAAAAAAAAAACATGAAAATATATAGAATGAAACTTTAGACTATAGAGAGAGAAAGAAGAGATAATTTACTAGCTTAAAAAGGGTAGTCCGTCAAAATGAGACTAACCAATGAAATCAACTAATCAATTATAAATCTAAAACATAGAACTTAATGGACATGAAAACAAGTACTCAAAACATAAAAAATTTGAAAATTTGAGACTAGAGAGAGAGAGAGAAAGAGAGAGAGGGTATGCTTGGCTCCTCGCACGCCACCCATAGTAGCCAATCTTGAGCTCAAAATATTGATTTGGTCTATATGTGTGGCATACAGGGAGCCAGGCACAACCCATGTCACCTTGCTCTTAATTTACTCATCATTTCTTCATCAAATTTCAAAACCCTAATCTTCAAAACCCTAATCTTAGAGAGAAAGGAGAGAGAAAGAGAGAGAAAGACCTAGGTATGCTTGGTTCCATGCACGCCACCCACAATATCCAATCAAGTAATTCACTATGAGATTGATCTATATGTGTGTGGCATACAGGGAACCAGGCATAACCCTTTTTTCATTCTTCTCCTCTTCCTTATCCTCTCTCTCTCTCTCTCCCTCCCTCTCTCTCTAGAACTCTAGAACTCTAGAGAGAGAAACAAATGAAGAGCTCAAGTGTAGAATTCTCTTCTATAGAGATGAAGAAAGAGACCCATGAGGGGGAAAAACTAATTAATCACTCCTCTTCTATGGATAGAGAAAGAATAGAGGAGAAAGAAAGAGCAAGAGAGAGATGGGCCAAGGGAGTGAAGTCAGGGAGGATTTATAGGCCAAATGACAAGATTTTTTTTCTTGTAATAAAAAAGGAAACTAATTAAAAATATTAAATAATAACAATAAGGACACGTTACACTCACCACCCAAAACCTCTCTTTCTCTTTCCTCACTTTAGGAAACCCTAGCTAAGCTATAGAGATAGACTCATGGATGGAGGCCAAACAAACAAAAGAAGCAAGCTCACATCATGATTAATTCATTCCAACCTAGCTAACTCTTTATATATTAACTCCTCTCTCTTTCTTTCTCTAGAAAAAGAGAAGCCATTAGCTTTTGATCTTTTTTTCCTCTCTCTAGAGAAAGTAAATGGGATGTCATGCATAGCACTTTCTTTCTACTCTCTCTGGACCGAGATTTGTCTTGGTGTGTTTGGATTAACCCTGGATTCTTTTCAAGCCAACCCCAGTCCACCAATCTCACTCATATCATAATAATAACCATATTGTTTATTAATATATTTCTCTTTACTTTTTGTTCCTTCACTTTCCAATTATAAACCCTTTTCCTCCCATGTGATGTGATTATTTCTAATGAAAATGATTTTTGAAAATGGAAGTGAATGTGTATCTTTTTTGTAACTCATGTTCATTTTAGTCGTATATGGTTGTCAAGATATATAGCCTTGTGTGGGTATGTACATTGCGTTTTACATTAAAACGAAGTAGATTTGTAAATATTCCATAAAATTATGAGTTCAAGTTATTTGTATATATTATAGTTTTTATTACTGTTTTAGTCTTTTAGTATGTCTAACCTTAAAAAGTTGCAGCTATATATATTTGTACTGTTCTTTACTAAATGATTAAAGTTGAGATATCTCTTCTTTATTTTGAATATAATGGTGGGATAGTAGTCCACTTTGTCATTCTAATATACTACAAAGTTATTAATAAAATTATAGTACGACAATTTGACATGGTTTAGTATTTCTCTAAACTTGTAGGATTTAAATTTTATGGTGAAAACTTCAAATTGTAGGAAAATGCTTATATATAAAATAGCATGTAATTCAAACAGTTGAATATTTTTCTAAATGGTAAATTTCAAGAAATATCCATCTATATCTGCTGTTTCCCCCCCATCTATTAAGTTGATATAAACCCTAACCTTCTTGTTATTTTTATTTGATACATTCTATTATCTTCTTTGTAGATGAGAACAATTTTTCATTCAATCTGTTACCTGGGCACAGCTACGAGTATATAAGATGCTGGCTTTTTGCTGAACTTAAAATACAAATTGGATTCTTGAAAACGGATAAAGATGAAGGAGATTTCTCGTAATTATTATTTCCTAAAATCAGGTGTCACATGCCAAATCTATAGTATACTAATCTCAACTTTATAATACCAAATTAACGACCCCCAGTAGGTATCATTGCCTTTTCAAGAAAAAGACATCTTCATGATTTCTTTTGTGAGAAGAGGTGAACAGAAATCCCTAGTGTTTCACTAATAAACTTTTAATAAAACGATAAAAAAGATAATAAATACAATAAGCCGCGAAGAAAAGAAACAAAAGACAATATGGAAAACCGATCGACCGGATAACAAGAGTTAAGGAGTCAATCATTCCACATTCTATTGATCGAATGTTATCACTTTCTGGGTTCGATTCCCATGTGCGACAAAGGCGCGATCCAAAAAAAATTGGCGTGATTCAAAAAAATTCTCTCTACACGTGTGCATGTGCATGAGAAGCGATATGGTGAGATGGTGAGGTAGTTTGTTTAACGTGTGATGGCTATTCTATACCGTTAGATTTAAATTAATGGCTAGATTTAAACTAATAGGTTAATTAATTAAAGATATGTGACCTCCACATTCATTTGATTTCTTGCCAAATTTTCTCTAGCCCTAGCCCTAACCCAAACCCTAACCCTAAACCTAAACCCAAACCCACTTACTCTTAACCTTAACCCTGATCCTAACCTGAGCACATATAAGAAAAAGATGAGGCGGGTTAGGGTTAGAGAATATTTGGTAGGGAAATCAAATAAATGTGGGGGCCACATATCTTTAATTAATTAAGTTATTATTTTAATTAATTAAACTGTTTGTTTAAATCTAACCATTAATTTGAATCTAATATATACACACACATTAGAAAAATGTAGAAACTTGGTGTCAAGCATAAATTTTGTACTTGGTAGTGAGATATCTCATTCTTATCTACTCTCTAACCTATGTGAATGTGTTCCCCTATTTGAATGAGGGGATAGGAATGAGTGGATAGGAATGAGCCACCTGTGAGATGGACTACTTAGTCATTAAATTCATAATCCGTACCATACATCTTATTCAAAACCTCATCAAATGTGCATGGTCAAATTTTCACATAGTTTATAGTCATTTAGAATATGAATCAAACTAGTATAATATGTTGATTTTTCAGACAACTTAATACCTGTCTCTTTCACTCATAGCTAAAATAATTGTTAGAAATTTCAAAATGATATAGTTTCTTTTACATATAGATCATGATATGCGCAAATCACGACGGGAGATGTCATTCATCATTCTGGGTAGTCTATTGGCCATCTCATGATAAAAATTATTAGACCCTAGAGGGGGTGAATAAGATCTTATGCTAATCTAATCCCGATTTTATGCCAATTAAAAACTTTCTTGATTAATTAATTCTTGCAAAAGATATATGAATGAGATATGAGCAAGAATATAAATTACAAGTACAAAATAAATATACACAAAGCAAACTCAAACACAAGATATGATCATGGAGTTCGGTCAACTCTTGACCTACGTCTCTGTTCCTCACCTCGAGGAGATCTTCACTATATCGACACACTCGGTTTGAAAGTTTGAACTTCTCTACACACTCGGTTTTTTTAATTCACCGAAAACTCTACAAGTCACTCACAATGTACATACACAAACTACAATCTCACGTGTTGGTCCTCACGTATCGCCTCCCTCAAGTGCTCGGTTTTACTACCTCTCACTAGGCTTTACTACCGACATCACTCCTCTTGGAATAGACTACGTCCTCACCACACACTCTTCTCAGTGTAAAAGTGTATTACAAAGTGATACTCACAAATGAAGCTCAAATACAATAATTTGTTTTCTAATAATGAATGAGAACACAATGAAGCTCACTCTCACAATATCACTCACCACAACCCACAATATAGTGTATGTAATCCTAGAAGCTCAATAGGGATGTTTATGTAATAAATGAGTACAAATAAAATCTAACTCAAAAAGAACTAGCAATAAAATAGATATGAAATTCAAGAATAAAATGCTAAAAAATTAATTTAGGGAAGCTTCTTTATAAACACAAAGAGTAGATGATGAAAGATTAAGGATGAATTCCTCAACCAAGGATGTAAGCTCCTCTCTGTGAAAACCAAACACCAAACTTGAAACAAACTTAATCAAACTTTAAAACTCTTTCAAAACTTGTTTAAAACATTCTCTTAGTTGGTTTTAGGTCTGAGGAATGAGGGGTATTTATAGAGAAAAACCAAAGCCCAAAAACCAAGAAAACCCAGCAACATGACAAGAAAATAGAAAGCTAAAAAAACTAGCCGTTACAGGTGTCGATCGACTGATGAGCTGAATCAGTTGACTGACAAGCTGACCGTTACAGGTAGCTAATAGCTCGTCGATCGACTGATGATATAATAAGTCGACTGATGAGGTCATCAGTCGACTGGTTAGTCAACCGAATAAGAAATAAAAACATTTAAAGATTGCAGGCAGTTTTATCAGTCGACTGATAACTGGTTTTTAGCTTGTAATGAATAGTAAACATGAATTTTAAACCTCTTTTAAAAATAGCAAATAAATTCCAAAAAATATAAAACTTTAAAAGTTTATAAACATGAATATGAACATGTTGGAAAATGAATTTTTCAATTTGCTCTTACTATTTGTGAAATCTCAGAAATATTCAAAAACAATAAAATACATGTGTTTATAAACATGTTAATTTTGACTTTTAGCTCAAATCAAATTCTGAAAACTTGTGTAATATTTTTATGGACTTAATAACAGATGTTAATAATGTTTGTATAGTCTAAAGTATATTAAAATAAATTTTGCATAAAAACACCTATGATTTGAGAAATATCACAAATAAGTTTGTGTGTAAATTTGAGCTTGAAGAATTTGCACACATTACATATAAACCTATACTAAGTATACCAAGAGAGAATCATCTGAAGCTTGAACTTGATTGGTTGACTTGATTTGCATATGCTTTAATATCAATGTAGCTCATTTTCCTGTGTATACTAAACAACACAAAACCAAAATACTAAAACCAATACTAGTCATAAATTGTTTGTTAAATCATCACCAAAACAAGAAGGCCAACAAAAATCTCATCTCACCATCTCATTTTATCACACACACACACACACCAAAATTATAATGAAGATTGATGATTATATTTTTATATTCTAACAAATCTGACTCTTCAATTCCCTCCAATTCTAGCAAATCTATAGTGAAATTACCTGATATGATATCTAGAGAGGCTGGAGTAAGTTATCTACCATGCTTTGATACACTTGGGAGAGATTGGACCCCCAAAGTCTTACATTAGAAATACACGTGACATCATTATTTCTTATCACAGAATTAATGAAGCTAGAGATATCTGACTATTAGTATTAATTTTAATTAGAAATTAGTTATTTAAACTACGACTGTTAATATCATGTCATGATGATGAGCCATCGACAAGTTACTAGTATATAACTGAGTATTCTAGACAAGACATTCTAGACGAAAAACTTTTAGTCTAACATGTGGTCGTTCTAGCAGTAAAATGTTGTCTAGCTAGGATGTTTCGTCTAGAATGTTAGGCATCCTAAATGGATTTGGGCTCTCCGCATTTGAAATAGTATCGTAGACAGAAGTGTGCATCCTTACTGTAGTTCTTATAATTGGAGCATGAAAGATGCGTAAAGAAAATGCTTGAATGGTATCAAGCAAATGGATCCTATAAAAGTTCATTATTTTAGAAAAATAGAAACAATAGATTCGGCAATATCTTGAACTTAATAGCATGCATTGGCAAACACAGTTAGTGTGATATATCATCATTTGTGAATAAACCACCCAAAATTATAAGAACTACGATAACAAT